ATACAAATAACTCATCAATAATTTAGCATGTACAAGAGCATGAAAATTCACTTAGTAAAAGTTCAGAGCAAATCAGAGTCTTTGTGAACAGTATACTTAGTGGGAAATTATGTCTGTCGAGATGTTGAAAGTGAGGTCCACACAGTTTTCCAGTGATTGCTGATATGAACCAAATTGACTCCATTCTTTGGCATTGTGAAAAGACAAAAACTAAGACTATGTAACAGTGAGCTATTTCGTTCATAGTTTCTTAACCACTGCAGTTAGCATTTAAAGTACACATTGAGTAAACCCTCCCTGGATCTTATTGATTTTGTGCTGAAAAAGCATCAGCCATACACGGGTATGTTTATTGCATCAAAATACAGGCATTGACCTCAAAAAAGAATGGAATTTATTTTTTTGAATTTCACAACATAAATCACTGACAATAAAAGTATGCTACCTGAAGGTAGTTATCCCTCTATATTCAGGATAAATCAGAGAAGATTTTTTTAATTCAAAGCATTAAATTCCGTTGTAGTGATACTTGCATTCACATAAGACTGTTTATAATTTATATGTATGTAAAACAAATACACTAGGGCTGGCAAGATAGCTCAGTGGGCTAAGCGCCTGCTTTGGCAAGCGCAGGGACAAGGATTTGATCCCTGGTCCCACATGCCACATAGGTCCTGCCTGCGGGCCATGCTGAGCCTGCAAAGGAGTCTGGGTGTGGTGTCTTGCTTTATGTTGGTCTTAACCAGCCAGCAGAAAAGTATACAAACGAAGTATAAAAAGTAAAGCCATATTACATGCTGAGCTGTAAAAGGCTCAAGTCAACTGCTTCTGACATTGCCAGTCTTATGAAAAACCTACTACTATTATGGACTATTGGACTATTTCAGAATATTTTGCTGAATTCACACACCTATAATATTTAAATGACAAAACTAAATGAAAAAGGGGATACAAATGAACGACCATTTTGTGTCTGCATATTCAAAATACTTAGGAGAGATGTATAGCTACATTCTCTTAATTCAGCGAATAGAAAGATTTGTTCTAATAGTGTTTGTAAACAGGATATCATGTCTGCATCTTGTACAATGAATAACCACGAAGACACTTAATATGCAATGTATTAATTATTGAAACTGTCCTACTAATTGGATTTGAAACTATCTCATTGCCATTTGTTTCTCAATAAAAATATGGAAAAAACCTTAAATCTTTTATTTTTTTAGTCAGTGGACATTTTAAATTAAATTCCAGAATTAAATCAAATTTTCTAAAAGAGGAAGAGGAAAGGACATGTCATTCCCCAAAAAGAAAGCAGAAATGGCAGGGCTAGCCACAGTGAAATGATGGTAAAATTCTATTGGAACTGCACTGCTACACTGTAGAACATTTCATAATCAGCTTTCTTCCCTTAAACTAGTAAATCCAGAGAGATGTCAGTCTGCTTTAATAGGAATATATACATAATTTTTATCATTATTATTTTATATTATATATATATATATATATATATAAAATTTTATTTTACCTGTATAAATTAGAGGAACAAAAATTGGTTGAGAAACTATTTTATTACATTTGTCTCTTTTAAGTTATCACATAATAAAGTTCATTTGGTGTCATTTTAATGTTTCATAAATATTAAATTGAGGTTAAAGCTTTAAGCACAGACCAGCCTAACAGCCAAAGTGTCTTCCCACCTCAGTTTTCTGGGGCTTCCCAGCTAGCACGTGGAAGCACGAGTGCCCTGCTGGAGCTTGGATTGCATCTCTGTTTTGAAAACCCAGCTTACCATGGGCTAAATGCTAAGGGTAATGGTGAGAATCCATGGCTCAGAATCATTCTGTAGCATTAGGCACCTTAATGAGCTATCAAGGATGCTTCTGTTAGTCCAGTCAGGGAAGTTATATATTCTTTGAGTCATTTCCTGAACCCGAAACTTTTATTTGAAATATTTTTACTACTACCCCCAACCTCAAGGCATGTTGATAGGAAGAAAGCTTTACTTAGATGGAATTTCACAGTTCTTCCAAAAAAGAAAACTATTAACATAATTTGTAAGTAATTAGCTGATGTTTTAAACACAGATATCTACAGGTGTAGTAGTGAAATTCTCTAAACTTAACCATTGCTTTCTAGTTAACATCAAGAGCAGTTTTATTTATATTTATGTCTTCTCCCAAACTCCAACTCTAAATATTTCTGGAAGCTCGAAGTTTCAAATTTATCTGTAGGATTTCAGGGTGTAGCTCCTGTCTATGTTTTCATAAAGTTAGCAAAATTCTGGGTTGAACTCACCCACACACCATGTCAACATGTTCTGGGCAAGCATTCACAGCGTATTATTTCAATTTAAAATATTCAAATGTTTTTGTTTTTCCAAATAACTATTATTTTCCTTTCCTTGTCCTTATAAATAAATCTGATTAAAAATGTTTTCCACTTATTCTATTATTATTATTATTATTTTAATCACTGAACCGATGTCAAGAGCTACTTGGAATTCATACTCTCTTTCATATCTTTCATTTTATTTCTTTCTGTCTAGATTCCGTTGATGGTGCTGTTGGGATTTTAGTTCATATATGGCTTTTTCCAATTATCGTCCTCATCTCTATCTTAAGTCCTCGAAGGTGACCTTATCCTGGCAGAGGCTATAAAAGATTCACCTGGCACTGGCATGAAGAAAGAGTCTTTGTAAATGGACATTATAAAAAAGAAAAAAAAAAAAAAAACAAACTACCAAAGATTCCTCCACTGACTACTGACTGAAACACAAAATAATAAAGACAAAATTTTTTTAAGCACTGGGGATAAAAACACATGGCGGAAGTATAACTTATTCCAAACTACATATAAAACATAATCTTGACATGCGTAGAGAAAAGACCTTCAGGTGCTTTTGTGGCTAAAACGATTACAGCGTCATCTGGTTGAACTCTGGGAAAAAAAAAAAAAAAAAGAGCTATAGAAATCCTTGTCAAAGCACAAAGTCATGGCTGGTTTTGTTTCAAATGAATAGTTTGCTTGTTACCATGGAAACCTAATGAACTGCCAACAAAAACCTCACTGTAAACAGGGTATGTGAAGAGCTGGCATTTATTTTCCTTTCAAGAAGGTTTTACGTAGAGAATTCAATAAATGTAGGCCCTTTTACCTTTGGCTGTTACCCTTCCTTGGAAATACCAGGACTCAGAATTATTTAAAGCATCATCTCCCTCCCCACCTTCCCCCCACCCCACACTTATTATTAGTTTTTTCTTCCATGGCTAAGCTAGATAACTGTATGCTGTCTCTCTGCATGCACTACCCTCCAGGGTGGGAAACCTGGGCTTACATATTACACAGGCTTATAGGAGTTTGCTTGCGGCCACTTGAACACCCAAACTATGTCATCTGTTCCAACAAAGAAACCAAACCACCATCTTTTATAAATTGCCATGGAAACCAAGTGCCTTCAATGAAACAAGCCTGAATAATTTTCAACTCAGAAGCTTGCACTGCTAAGAGTGGTTTGTGTAGAACTATTTTGTAAACAAACTACAGAGCCTAAACGTGCAAATTACAGGCAAGACAACCAAGCCGCTTCTGAAGAAGAAAGGACCGGAGCTGCTGCGTAAGCCCATGCAAACAAGATGTTTGTTATTTAACCTCTCAGACAGCCATGGCCTTTCGGCTTATTGTCCATTAAAGGATAACTTCCACCGAGACCACACCGAGAGCGACACTTTTTTCTTCCAGGTTATTAAGTGGGTCAACCAGAGCAAAAGGTTGTTAAGATAATACTCAGCTCAGAAGGTGGTAAAACACAAAAGTAATTTTTTTTACTGTAACCTCCATTTGAAATGAAATTGGCCCTAGCTTTAGAGGGAACGAGAAAATGTTTGTGACTGCGCTGTGTATGGACTCTACGGCGGACCTGAGCCTGAGAAATCTGGCTTTATTCGAAACTCTGAGGGATATATGCCTCTGCCCTGTAGTCGGACTCTGCAAATTGTGAAATATTATTTTATTATTTTGCCAAGATTAAAAAAAACACTTTTACAAAAAAACAAAAACCTGTAAAAATGATTTTGAGCTACCTGAGGACAAATCATACCTTTAACCAGCCAGTTTTCCAATGCATTGTAAATTTCACTTAAACTTATTGGTTATGAAAATTTGAAGATCTTTTTCCTTAAATTATCTCAGCTTTTAACTTCATTAAAAAAAGACTTTTGTCTAAAGAAGAATATTACTATTATATGTTATTTCAATACCCCAGGATTTAAAAAAAATTGATTATGCAAGTAATTGGGATATAAGTATTAAATTATAACATTTGCAAATATTAATATAAAAGCACAACAAAATGTAGTGGAAAAATGACAAAGCTTGATTTTTAAAAAGAGATCTGTAGAAATGTTTGTGCAAATTCAGTAATTCAACTTAAACTATAATTTTAAAGCTATGTTCAATAAAGCCTCTTTCTAGGTAAGGTATGAAAAGCGGTATGTGTGTTTGTTGAGCAATTTTTACTTAATCACTAAAGTGAGATTATTTATACAATTTACTGGTTATGTTACCATAATAAATCATCATTGCTTCAACATACTTTTAAGTATGCAGGAAGAGATTTTAATGAGAATGCCCTGATGCAATCTCCCGTATTTGTAACACATGTTAAAAAATGTAAAAACCTTTGTAGATAAAATAAGAATTTGGCATATATTTTCATAGTCAGTTCAGAGGGAACACATTAGAATATTTAGTTAGAGATATAATTGAGCTCTAAACCAACCTTAAAATTAAAAAGAATAAATAAATGAGTTTCATAATTTACTTGAATGAATTAGGCATATTGAGAGTTTTCCAGAATTCTAGTCCTTCATATATTTTTGTCAAACCAAAGAGATTCAAGTAAAGGACATCTGGGGACACTTAGCTTACCTGTAAAATTTACCTTCACCACTCCTTCTGTTTAGTAGCAACTAACCATGTCACCTATCACCTACCAGTAAATCATTGTTTTACTGCTTTATAATTGTAAATAATGTGCATTAAAATGTTTTAGAGGCTTTACTCATTGCCTTTTATTAACTATCGTTAGGTTGGTGTGAGAGAGGCTTTTGGAAAAAAAAGTTAAAAACAAATAAAAAATTCATTTCAGACTATTGGAATATCTATGTATTCTTTACAGGAATACACTCAAATTTACTTGACTTTAAATAATTCTGCATAAAGAATGTGCCACAAATGAAAGTTTTAATAATACTATGAAACATTTATAAAATAATAAAAGTTTTTAAGCTCTCATGTGATGAGAAGACACACACTTCCGAAATTCATGAGAACTGGCTGGTACTTGACAATTAATTTCAATTAAATTTTTAAGAAATTGCAGATGATTGAGAACAAAAGGGCATTCTAGTTTACTTAGGTAAGCCAATAGACAAAGAATCAGCGTTGGTCACTTCAGATTGGATATGCAGCTGTTTTAGTAGAAAGCAAATGGTACAAATGCAGAAATTTTTAAATAATTAAGATAAATATCAATTATTATAAGTAGCCTCTTTAATATGAGTAATAATAATGAGAATTTTCAAACACCTGTTTAGCAACTGCCTTCCTTTTATTAATATTTTTGTATTTATTATGAGTTGGATCCCACAACATATTACTCCTCCTTTCCCATTTTGATAATGTATTTAAAGTATACTTGGTGCCAAAATTTTCATTGTTGTTATTTTGTAAAGAGGCATCAGGCAATGAAGTTTTCAAATTTCCGGGAGAAAGAACATACCATGCACCTCCTACTGCCAGTAACTGATCTCAATTAATTCGGAACATTACTCTGTCTCATCCACTCAGAGACATTTCTCTACACCTTACCATGTCTGAAATTGGGCCTATTTCAATTGCAATTGGCAACATTTCTGTGTGGCAATATATAAAATGCATCTGAGAACTAATGGCGTTTTAGTGATGATAAAATTCACTAAATTTACCACAAGTGCCAATAATGTCTAATATTACTAGCTTTCATCAATCCCCAAACTGACAAAAGTATTATCCTGTCCTACTTTTAAGATTCATATTAACAGTTCATCAACTATGCAGTATTTTAAAATAACCTATTTATTGTGTTCCTTGCTAAAAATGCAAGCTTTCTCTTAGGTTGTTCATGCATACCTCCTGTCATCCACCTTTTTTTAATTTTACCCTGGTACCTATGGTTTTAGTTCCATCGTAAGATTTATTTTGCTGTGTATCCCTCATTTAAAATATTCTATTGTTCCAGGTGAGTCACAGTATTTAGCAGGTCAGAAGTTTGGCCTTTCATTAAATTTTCTTCAAGAGAACTCAAACATGCATGGTACACCCCAGGGTCATATAATTGACATTAGAACTAACAGTATTTTATTTCGCACATATCGCAGAATTGACCGTGGCATGGCGATGATTATAATTCATAATAATCACAATTAGAACCCACCTAATCGGTTACATCATGTAATAAATAAAAATAATTCCATTCTTTAATTTTATATTTTAAAATATGAAATACAAATTGCAAATGTACTAACTTTTCACCAAACATGCATTTTTCTTTTGAAGACTTTATAATAAAATTAATCTGTCAATAAAACGTGTAGTTTCAAGAACAATTCATTCATTCAGTTCTATACTTAAGACTCTAAAACTGGCTATGCCGTTCTTCATGATCCATTTTGTCTGTTTTCTTCAATAATTTAAAAGATGATGAAAGACTAATCCAGTTTTGATAGACTGGTTACGAAAGTTTCTTCTGAATGCATGTTCTTTATCACAGACTTTTTTCAAATGCACTTTGGAAAGATCAGGGCCTCTCAACAGATGTTTAAACTGGGAAAACGTTGCAACAGCCCCGAGTACACTTGCTTCCTTCCTGGTTGAGGATTGCCTCTTACTAGGAGGTTCATCTGCGTCTCAGCAAAGCAGAAGGACTACTCTTCTTGCAACTGGGTAGTTGATGTCAATGAGGAGTTATTGCATTTTCTGTGAAAACAATAAAAATCATAGGGTTCAATCCCAAGCTATCCCCTTTCCTACAATGTTCCCTTTGTGGCTAACCAGTTGAATTAGTTTTCTTAATGCTTATTTTTAAAAAGCAATGTCTGGCATTTTCTACTTTGACTTAAGAGAAAAACTACCACAAAGCGATTAGAATTTTTTTCAAGTCAAATATCAGTCTTTGCTGAATATCCACAATATGTATGAGTAAACGTGTATGTTGTTATTGTGTAAAAGAGAGACACTTAAAGGCTTGAAATTTTAATGTTGAATACGTCAATTCAGGATGAGCCTATCGTGTGTCCATGTCCGCTTAAAAAACAAAGACAAGAGTTAGAGAGAAATTTTCCATATATTTGTACATGGATTACTTTATTGACATATATTAATTTAAAGCTTAATAAATTCTGAGTAGTGATTTCACTACTCTGAGTCCACGTTGACTATATTGAAATTAGGGAACTGGAATTAAAAATTTGAAGTAGGGCAGAGGTTAAACTCTGGGTAGAATTTGAAATAGTTTCGTAAGGGAATACTTGCGACTGATTGAATTTAATTTCAATTGTACTAATTTTCCATGAGTTGAGCTGAAGTGTATTCTTATTTTTCAATAAAATGTTGGGAAATTCTGTGATGTAGGGATTAGCTTGTCAGTTTTCATTTGTTTTCATACGGCTTTTAATTGTTGTCCTGAATTTCCAGGATATCACTTTTATTTCTTAATTCTCATCAGTATATTTAAATGTATAAGTTTAATCAAACATACATTGTGTTGCATTTATATGGAATATTAGTGACATTTGAGATCTCAAAGTTTAGATTTAACTTAATTTTCCTTTTGATATTTTCTTTCTGCTAAATAGTTTGAGATAGTTGTATGTTATTTTCTCTTGGATTTTTTTTTCAATAAATGAAATTATGTTAAACATTCTATTAGTGTTTTGGGGAAATTTCTGCTGTCAGTAAGCAACTAAGTGACTATTAAAGGTATTAGAATTGCAATTATACTTACAATTTAAAATGAAAATGCCACCATTTCTCACGGTGTTAAGGTTTTACAAAACACTGCAGTGAGCACAGCTAGCTGATAAATAAATAAGTTGACTTTTATATCTTTCGTGACATCAATTTAAACATTGTGTTAAACAAGTAGGCACGAAAATCTTCCTGACTATGAATCAAGAAATATTACTCACTTAGTAATTGTACTTTTGTATGATATGTAAAATAATTACAGTTCGATGGTGCTAGGGGTATTCGGGAAGATAGTTTCAATTATGTATTTGACGGAGGTACGGTAAGCTCCATTCGAGTATGTCAAGGGAATAAATAATATTCTGGGCAAAGATTCGTGTGAATCAAGATATAGAAGGAATACTAAAAGTTAGCTTGCTAGTCTTGATTTATTATTGCTTATTTAGCTTATTTTTTCTTTATCTTTGATTTTGTACTTAAATAAATCCATGAACTTTTGGAGATGCAAATGGAATTCACACAGACAGACCCAATTTTCTGTTTGAAAACCAACTCTTGTGCAACCGCTCCTGGATTATTAAATTGCTTCTTATTGCTCTTAAACCATTATTAGCAGTCAGTTAATGATCTTAATCTATAGTATTTATAGTTGCTTCTCAAATAAAATTATGTAGCTCCCTCCATGCAAGGATATATCACTTACCATTTCAATAATCTCTACAGCATGGAGGTAAATTGTAACTTGGTTCTTTGGAGATTATAGAATGAATTATTTTTAAATTAATCCATGACTTCAGGCTATATTTAGAACAAAATTTATTGAATGACCCTAGAAAATATGAAAAGCTTTTATCTTTCTCCTGTAAAAGCTTTGAAATCTCATGACAGAAGATGTTTTTACTGAGAAAAATGAGAAGCTATCTAGCTGAGAAACAGCTTAATCACTTATACCACTGTTCTCTGGTACTACTTAATTTAACAGAAAATGATTTTGTTGCTTAATAAGAGGGCAAATGTTAATATCTTTGCAGGCAAAATTATTACACAGTTCATATAAAGAACATTAGATGATTCTGAGTATTTGTGTTAGAGGCCAGAATTAGGGCTAAGAACAATACCTTTTGGAATCTCTGTCTCTAACTACAGTGCATGTATTAGGATGTTAAGCTGAATTTTGCCTTAGTGAGGACACATGAGTGCTAGTTGAGTTCTGTGGCTCAGATCTTTTCCAGACTTTGTTTGTATACATGTTTCTTGGGATCTGGTCATCCATTGAACTGAAAATCTGGAATACTTTGGCATGCAAATATTTTGAGTTTTATGATAATTTCAATTTTGAAACAAAACAATAACAATGAGAAGCTATTTATTTCTGAGCAATAATTTTTCTCTCCAGATATAAATGGAACAAATGAAATAAAAACAATGAAAATTAGTTTTCAAAACTGGAAACAAAAATAAACAGAGATGACTA